CTGAAGAACACAGCCAAGGCCATGGCCATGGGAGAAACCTGAGGGTTCATTCTGTCACAATCCGTATCTATGCCCTTGCCTCAGTCTTCCTTCACTACCTGAGAGCTCCTTGATTCAGGGGCTGTGGCATTCACTCCTATGCTCCCTTGTGAAAATTCTCACCCAGTACTCCAGAGATGGAGCTCACCGAGTACTCCAGAGATGGAGAACCACTTAAAGATTTGACCATCAAATCTATCAAAGCCAGCAGATCTTGTCTATCAACTGCCCGTTGCATAAATAAGGAGATGGAGGTCAGAGACTGTCTCTCCTGGGTAATTTGAAAAAGTGCATTTTTTTCCAACTAAGTATTTGGGGGATCCTGAACCCAGACCCTGGGAGGATATACTTGAAAAGCTTTCAAAAATCATCCCTCTCAGAGCGAACTGGTGGGGAGGGAGGGCTGTGCGGGGAAAGAAGTGCAGCAATGAATGAATGGAAATCCAAAATCTCTGTAAATGTTCATTAAAATTATTAAATTTTTTTTAAAAAGCGATGTGTGATAGGGTATTATGGTTATCACAAGAGCCCACAATTAAGGTTGCATAGTGAAATGTACTTGGGGCGGTGGGAGGGGTGCGGAGGGATTGTGTACCAGGGAGGGAGTGTTTCTTTTACTTTTCAAAGAGAGGAACGAACTGGGGGAGAGGGAGGGCCAGGTGGGGAGAGAAGTGCAGCAATGAATGAATGGAAATCCAAAATCTCTGTAAATGTTCATGAAAATTATTAAAATTAAAAAAATATTCCCTCTCTTAACTTTCTCCTCCTGCTCATTCCCTTTCCCACAGAGCATACCTGGCCCAGGTCTGGGGACCCAGATTTTCTGCCTAATGGTGCCCATTGTCTTGGTCCATTGCCCTCTCCCTGGTGGCTGGGGTGGGCGAGGCCAGCCAGTATTACTGAAAACAGCCCTGGCCAAGGCAGCTCCAGAAAGTGAAGGAACAATTCCTCCCACATCAATATTTATTGCCTGAAAGCTGCTGGAAGCAGATCATCATGTTCTCAACCTTCAGTGCTTTTTTAAGAACCTCTCACCCCTCTCCCTCCTTACCCGCCCCCCGCCATCCCCAATGTGCTGACGGAATGAATCTAGACAGCCAGACAGGTTCACAGCTGAGGAGTCAGGGTTTCAAGGTATCACAGACACATAGCTCTTAAAACCAGAGTCTGAATCACAGCAGCTTTGACTCAAGAGCTGTACATTCTTGTAAACTGAGGCACCAGAATATTGCAGGAGTCTATCCTCAGCATCTTACATGACAGAATGGGGAAGCAACGTGCACAAGGTCATATAGCTGGCATGTGACAGAGTCCAACACAGACAAGTTTCTCATCCCCAGCTTTTCTTCTTCTACCTTCTCCAAGATAAAGATCATGCCACTGTCCCACTGACTGTTCTTCTCTGCTTAAGTTTAGATTATTTTTACCTCAGTCAGAATAGCAAAATTTAACAGAACAGCAAGCAACAAATACTAGCGAAGTTATGGAGAAACTGGAACCCTTATTCACTGTTGGTGGAAGTGTAAAATGGTGCAACCACTGTGGAAGGCAGTATAGCGCTTTCTCAAAAATTTGCAAATTGAGATACCATTTGACCCAGAAATTCCACTACTGGGAATATACCCCAAAGAGACCATAACTGTCACCCAAGCAGATATATGCACACCCATGTTTATAGCGGCTTTGTTCACAACAGCAAAGAGTTGGAAACAACCTAAGTGCCCATCAAAAAACAAATGGATAGAGAAGTTATGGTATATTCATATAATGGAATACTACGCTGCATTGAAAAACAAAGAACTCATAAAATATTATACAAAATGGATGACCTTGGAGGACATTATGCTGAGTGAAATCACAAAAAGACAAATCACAAAAGGTCTCTATCACAAAAGGACAAATATTGCATAGTGCCACTGTTGTAAAATGGGACTGACATCGGGGTTGGGGAGAGACTGGGAAAGATGGGATAAATTATGGATCCTGTACTGAAACAGATGAGGGAGAGAACTGTTTAAAAGGGATATATGATTAGGTATTGTTATCACGACAGGAGTCCAGAGCGAAGGCTGCATAGTGGAGTGGACTGTGGGGAGGGATTGTATAGCAATGAAAGAATTTTTCTTTTACTTTTCAAAGAGAAGAGTGAACTGGCAGGGAGGTTGGGCAGGGAGAAAAGTGCAACCATGAATGAATGGAAATCCAAAGGTCTCTAAAAACTTTAATTAAAATTAAATTAAAAAAAACAGAGAGAAAAGATTATTTTTAATTGGCAACCAAGACTTTCCTCTTTCTCTATAAGCATCCTATTTCTTTTTTACTCCCCCCAAGCATCCTATTTCTAAGAACTGTTTTTAAAGTTCCAGGAATCCTAGCACATCCAAATTTTGTCCTGCAATAGGAAGAACTGAGAAGGACCCATTAATGATCCCAAACCCAAGTCTTCTTTCTCTGAACTGGGCACTGTCGAGAGTTTACTGTTCCTGATCCCAGCATCAGCCCAACCTTCACTATTTCTGGGATATCACTTTGTAGAAAGCACCTGAGTCTATGCTGTTTATCTCTTGGGTTTGTCCCCATCTCCCACCTCACTCAATGGAGTGGTTCAGCTTCTGCCTGGATCACTGAAAAGTCTGTCTCATGGCAGTCCTGTCCTCAGCCTCTCTACACACATTACCCTTGACCTTCCTCAGCCCAGCAGCTATGATTACATCATAGGACTCCCCTATTCACCTTCCTTTCAGGACTGTCCTCTGCTCTTTATCTGGCAAGCAGGACTTTCCTGTTCTAGCCCCTGCTGGCTGCTCCAACATTGTTTTCCTTTGTTCTCCATCCTCACACAAAGGAGCTTTGGTGGCTTTAGTGGGTAAGGAGTGGCACTGCCAACAGGTTTGAATCCACCAGCTGCTCCTCAGGAAAAAGACAGGCAATCTCTTCCCGTGTCATTTACAAGCTTTGAAAACCTGCTGGAGGGTCAGCTATGGGTCAGTTCTGACTCGACAGGACATAACAACAGCTCTCTTGTCGCGTACACCTCTTCTGCCTCAGCCAGAGGGTAATGGAGGTTAGCGTAGAGCAGTAAGGGTCTGGGAATTAGACAAGCGTGGACACAAAGATCGGCTTTTCTAAACAGAGCTGATTCACCTTTCTACTCTTGCTCTATGAACAGGCTCTGTGCTACAAGACAGCAAACTTATTTTGAGTTCATTGACCAACCTGTCACAGTAAACGAAATTCTTCTTGCTACAAAATGTTGAACAGAATTTTTTTAAATAAAATTTTTATTTTATACTTGTTTACTTACAAACTTTGTATACATTGCTTTTCACACCAGGTCTTTCCCATTTCCTTCACCCACCTCTCTCTCTACCCATCAAATTGTGTGACCCTATGATTGCCCCCTGGCCCATCCTCACTCCTCACCTCCAACCCTCCCCCCCTTGGATCCTCATACACATTTTACTATTTATCTTTCTATTTCTACAATATTGGTCTTCTTATATAGTATTTCAACAGGATTTTTGTAAATGATCTCTCCGAGATGAAAATTACTTGGCAATAAAAAACTAATTTATGATTGTGATGTCTCAATCATCTTCATCCATACTTGGGGAAATCTAGTTTACAATCCCAAAGGCAGGTGGTCCAAATCTACAGGAGACAGATGAGCAATTTCCTACTATGCCATTTACTGTCTCTAAAAACCTACTGGAGGGCCATTAATGGGTCGGTTCCAACTCGACAGCACCCAACAACAACTACAATTAAATCCTTATGAATAGTAACTGAAAATGAATGAAGCTGACGGTGTTGTTGGTATGTGCCTTCAAGTCGACTGTGACTCCTAGCAATCCCATGCACAAAACCTCTGAACCCTGCCCTATCCCAAGCCAATCTCCCTGTTTCCAACACACCTAGCCCCATTACTACAGTTACAAAGTTGACATTAATGGCATATAATTCAACTTTTTAAAAACATTTATCATCTCTTTTTGCATTTTGGAGTTAACTTATTAAGTTTTAAGCCTCATGTTTTCATGGGTCTCTGGAAACCCATGAGCTCAATGACTCATGTGTGCTTCTCTCTTTCAAGCTCTATGACTTTAAAAAAACCCATGTGCCCTTCAGGGTCCTCTTCTAAGGAAAGGTAATGAAAACTCATACTCAAGGGCACTGCTGTTGAACCTTCACGGACAAACAGCCTTTGTTTGGGTTAGCAGCACGATTGCACAGAATCCACACCACCAGAGCCTCCTGAGGGGTACAGTATTTAGGATGTGTCCCAAGAACATCATATATAAGGTAGTTGTTACTTATTAAAAAACTATTATCTTATTAAGTATAGAGACCCTATATCTCAGATCTTCGCATGACCAGCGTCCAGGCTGAACCCAGCCCAGAGATACACTGAATATATGCTTGACCCCTTCACTGGTCTCAAAAAGCCAGTTTCATGTCTATAGCCAATCCTTTGCATGTGCTCTTTCCAAGGCTAGAGTGTCCCTCCTTATCCTAAGTTCAAAATGCAGCTCAAATCCTTACTCTTCAGGGAAGGCTCCCTCTGCTCACCCTCTTCATCCTCCTGGTTCTTAATATCCTTATATAGCACTTTCAGAATTTACTGAACACTTCTGGTGACCAGCAGAGAGGCACTAATGCACTGGTGAGAGAATTAGAGATGTGGGCTTGGCTGGACTTGGATTCTTATGCCAGTTTTTTCCCTTGCTGGCTCATGATCGTAGCTAAGTCACTTCTACTCTCTGACCTTTAATTTTGTCACTGAGAACAGGACAGACCATTCCATAAATGACACTTAGGAAGATACAGTGGATCCCAGGTATGACTGAGCTTTGTCAGCTGTGAAGTTCCCAGAAGAGAAAGAATTTGTGATTACTGAGGAGAACAAGTGGGTAGGGCTGGAGCCCAGGCTGGGGTATAGATTGTGGTGAATGGGGGCTTACTTTGCTGGCTCGTGAGGTTATTATTGACAAGATCCTTGTCCGGAAGTGAAGCTCGTGCCTCTCCTTGGGCAGCTCCCTGGGGAAGAAGAAGTAGGGGATGGCAGCTAGGGCCACAGCACCAGCAGCGACGAGGAATCCCAGCCACCAGGCACCCACCCATCGAGGGTCCTTAGAAGTCAGGCTGATGCCACCTGGAAGAGAAAACAATGGTGATGTTAGAGTCAGGGTGGACCATCACATCACTTCCAGGTCACATTCCTCTGACTATCTTCTGTGACATGAGTCAGCCTGAAGCAATGGAGACAGGTGAAGTCAGGAGACCTGGGTTCTGGCTAGGACTCTGCAAATCATGACTGTAGAGATAGATCGCCAGATTGAAAATGCCACTCTTAACTGCTTAACCTCCTTTGTAACCATACATTTCTTTTATGTTCTCTGTTTCTTCTTTTGTAGAATTTAGGTAATAATAGTACTTAAATCATAGGGTTGTTCTGGGAATTACAAGAACAAATACACACACACATATCTATACAGGAGGGAATATATCTATATATGAGCGATATATATGTTGTTGTGTTGTTGTTATGTGCTGTTGAGTCATCTGTGACTCATAGCCACCCTCGGTACAACAGCTCTAAACCCTGCTCTATCCCGAGCCAATCTTATTGTCTCTGACACACCTACCCCCATTATCCCAGTAACTGAATCAATCCGTCTCATCAGGGGACTTCTTCTCTTGTGCTGTCCCTCCACTCTCCCAAGCATGACGTCCCTCTCCAAGGACTGATGCCGCTTTGCAACGTGTCCAAAGTATGTCAGATGAAGCTTCAGAATCCTTGATATGTATTTCAGATTATATATAAACTCTGGTGGCCTAGTGCTAAGGAATTGCACTGCCAGCCTAATGGTATACAGTTCAAATCTACCAGCATCTCCATGGGAAAAAGATGAGCAATCTCTTCCTGCATGATTATTGCCTCTGAAAATCCTCTAGAAGGTGAGCTATGAGTCAGTACTGACTCCACAGCATTCAACAACAACAACAACAACAACATATGTACAAGGAGCCCCGGTAGTATAGTCTATAGGGAGTTGCACTGTTAACCCAAAAATGGCACCTCTCCGATGGTTTGAATCCACCAACAGTTCAGCAAGAGATAGGCCATCTCCTCCCGTGTGATATACAGCCTCCCCGTGACCCACCGGAGGGTAAGATGAACTGGTTCTGATTTGACAGCAATGAGTTGAGTTGAGACGAAATGTAATGCGTTTAATGCAATCCCTCACACATAGTATTGTTATATAGGTGTGTGGTTGTGTTTTTGTCATTTGTACTACTATTCTTTTTGGGGGGGAGGGTTAACTGTTTGATACATCATTGAGCTGTGCTTGTGATTTCCAGACTTCCGTGATAATTAAAATCAAAAAGAGGCTAATGAAAAGTATCAGATCTTGCATAAGACCCACTTAATTACAGCAGGGTTGAGATGGGAAAGGAGCCAGGGAATCTGTACTATTGCAAGATCCCTAGGTAGTTTGCTCCCCCTGCATATTTACCTGGGACTAGATTATGGGGACAAATCTCCCACAAACCTCTTAGATCCCATGGCAGAGTTAGGCCCTCCTCCATTTTTCACAATGTCTGGAGAAACTTTATAAAGATATGACTGCTACCACATTTTGCAGGCCTGATACCCTAGCTGTTCTTGAGCCTTCCTGAGAGAGTCTTCATCTGTCTCCTACACAGCATATCTGAGTATGAGGCTGGGCGTCCAAGGGCACACAGTGTGGAATAAGACGAAGAATCTTAGTCCTAGCAGCAACAAGCACAATTCCTCCTCTGATAAAACCTTGTAGTTCATCTCTATCATCCCTTTGGAAGATAGATTAGGCAGCATTTATCAGCCTTATCTCAAAGATGAGAAAGCTGAGGCTCAAAGGCTGATTGCTTCTCTAAGGTCAATAGCCTTGTAGGGCTTTGATCCCAGGAACCTGAACTCAGTATCTCCTGTGAGACCAGCAGTCAGTCTGGCCTGTCCCTGAGGGAAGGAGGAAGGGGCTCACCTTCTGGCATCCGGTCAATATCCACATAAAGGCGCAGCATGAGGCCACCCAGCCCATAGGCCAAACCTGGCCCCAGCATGGTCACTGCAAACAGGATGCCTGCCAGAAAGAAAAACAAACAAAAAAAATTAAACCAACCCACTCAAACCAGGTTAGGTCCTGCAAGCCTTGGCTTCCCTCAGGTTAGTGCTTGCTCAGATTCCCACTGGATTAGAACAGCCCACCCTGATCAGGCCCTGGAAACTGGTCAGTGTTCTCCAGGCCTTTGCTTGATACATGATGGGACAGAAGTCAAGGATTTCATGTCCCGTCCATATCCAGGATCTCGTCTCCCTGAGCCTGGCCTGGCCGTCAGAGCCCAGAGGGGTTGGGACCAGTACTCACCAAGGTAGAGGGGTGAGTTGCTATTGTGGGAAAAGTCATCAATGTAGGAGATGCCGAATGGTTGAATAGGCACAGCACCCACTCCAAGCAGAGTCTGCGCCATGAACATTATCCCCACCACCGCCAGGTGCCGTGCCTCCGTGTAGCCAGAGCAGCTGCTATTGGAGGGGGCTGCTGTTGGGCCTGAGATCGTGGGCAGGCACAGGGAAACCTCGGAGTTCTGTGGTAGAGTCTCTGAAAGATGACAATGAATTAGAACAATAAACTAGCTGCTCATTCAGACTCATGCTGACCTCACATGTCTCAAAGTAGAATTAAGCTCTGTAAGGTCTTCAATAGTTATAATCATCCCATACCAAAGGGACTAATTTGATGTGGCTCTTCTCAGCCATTGTCCTTGTTACTTTGACCACATGACTAGGTAGCACGATGCAAAGGTGAGGTGTTTGTAGCCCATCAAGGGGATTGGATAGCTTGCTAATAATATAATTAAGGTACATGGCATCTTCGAGTGGGGCCAAGCAAATAAGAGTTGTAGAATGTTAACATAGGAATTGGTCAGTTTTGCCATCTCACCAGGGCTTAAATTGAGCCAGCCCAGAGGTAGAAAACTAACACCTGACTACCATCCAGAAGGATGAGCCAGAGACTACAGTGTGCCCTTTGGAAATGTTATCTCTCCATGAACCAAAGAGGGAGAGCTGTGACACCAGAGAGATGACGCAAGACCTAGAGATGACAGCAGAGAACCCAAGCTCTGGGTTTCTAGCCCACAGACTGAGAAAGCTGAGTACTTGCTGGTGAGCTGGGTACCTCTGCCAATCAGTGTGGTTGAGCAGAGCCCCTCTGAGCCTAGGCTCACTGGTTGAGTGAGGGTGGTACGTAATTGGTAGGGCTAATAGAGCTTTCTAACAGTTGCTATACCAAGGCAGAGGCCAAGGCCATGAGGCTGAGGGTCACAGAGGCCTGCCTGTGAGTACACCTGAGAAGAGCCTGTCCTGACTCAAGTGGAATCCTGAGTGTTCCCATACCTAAACTGTAACCTGTTACAATTCCCTAACAAATCCCATAATCATCAGTCTTGTCTGTAAGTTTGGCAGGATGTCATTGTAATGAATTATAAAATCGAGCAGAGAAGTAGCAAGTGCCACAGGAGGAATGGTGGATATTAGAAATAGAAGGTATAGAGTAGGGGAGGGCATGTTGGACCTCAGTGCAATCAGCTTTATGTTGTTGATGGGGAGTCTTTTTTCTTGTGAAACCAGCAGAGGTCAGACACTTCTTCCCCCATGCCCACGACAGTTTTTATACTTTCCAAAATTAGACTGTCGACAGGCTTTTTTTCCAGGGGTGAATTCAAACTTATAATCTCTCAATCAGTAGTCAGACAGTTAACCATTGTGCCATCCAAGGACTCCTGAGTGACAAAACTAATATTTACACTGTTAGGTGATGGTGAGTCAACTAAGACTTATAGTGATGCTATGATTAATTAATGGATCTGAACCTTATCCTGTCTTACTCACTTATTGCTGTTGAGTCAGAACTGACTTATAACTGACCTTCCAGCAGGTTTTTGGAGGCTGTAAACGGAGTATTTACTTAGCTCTTACCAATGCAAGGCACTATTCTAACTCTTTGTATCTATATCGCTCTATATGTATGTGGTGTGTGTATAGGGAGTTCTGGTGGCATAGTCTGGAGGGAGTTGTGCTGGTAACCCAAAGCGAGTGCCTTTTTGGGGGTTTGGATCCACCAGTAGCTGAAGGGAGAAGCCTGGGCAATCTCCTCCTATTCAATTTACAGCCTTAAAAACCCATTGGAGGGTCAGCTGTGAGTTGGTTCCAACTTAATATCAATGATTGAATAATATATTAAGTTTATTAATATATATTTAGAATGTATAATTTATAATATAATATATATTATATCTTTATTATATATTATATATGTTCTGAGATGGATTTACAACACACTAACTGGGGTATTGAGGGTAGATGTGTCAGAGACAGTGAGAATGGCTCAAGAGAGCAAGGTTTAGAGCTAGTGTACATAGGGTCTCTATGAGTCACAAGCGACTTGAAAGCACCTAACCACCAAATAACACCATATCTATATCTATCTGTCTGTTGTTGTTGTTGTTAGGTGTTGTTGAGTGCAACTCATAGCGATCCTGTGAATGAAGATCTGAACCCTGTTCTATCCCACGTCATCTTCACACTTTCTGACATAGAAGAGCCCATTGTGGCAGTAACCGTGTCAATCTGTCAATCCACCTGATCGAGGGTTGTCCTCTCCTTTGCAGACCCTCCACCCTTCCCAGCATCATGCCCCTCTCCAAGGAATAGCTCCTCCTAGAAACATGCCCAATGTGTATGAGGTGAAGTCTCATCATTCCTGCCTCCAAAGAACACTCTAGCTACACCCTCTCCAAGACATATCTGTTTGTTCTTTGGCTGTCCATGGGATGTTCAGTGCTCTTTCCCAACACCACAGCTCAAAGGCATCAATTCTCTTTCTGTAATCCTTAATCATTGTCCAGCTCTCAGATGCATAGCAAGTGATCAGAAAGATTATGGCCTGAATCAGATGCACCTTAATCCTCAAAACTAATAGATAGCTAGATAAATAGAGATTGTTGTTGTTGTTGTTTAATGCCGTCGAGTCATAGACAACTCATAGCGACCCTATGAACGAACAGCCTGAGCACTGTTCGTACATAGAGTTTCCGGAGGCAAGCCATTTTGGAAGTGGATGCCTCTCCTGCTTCCAGGCTTGATTTAGTCGGGAAGCTCCAGCCAACACTGTCCACCATGGGAGCCCATTACCACGACAGGCACATCACTGTAATCCTTATTCATTGTCCAGCTCTCAGATGCATAACAAGTGATCAGAAAGATTATGGCCTGAATCAGATGCACCTTAGTCCTCAAAACTAATAGATAGCTAGATAAATAGAGATAGAGATAGATATAATCTCTACAATGAGCCTAAGGAATCAGTGTGTTCATTATTTCATTTCATAGCTAATCCTCAGACAGCATTAATCTTCAGACAGCAGCTAGTAGCAAGAGGCAGAACTAGGATTTGAACCTAAACAGGTTGGTTTCAGAGTTTATGCTTTTAAACTCTATACCTTCATCTGAGCAGAGGTGTGTCAAAGTGCTGTGGCAGCAGCAGCTACTGGGAAGGGTGGGACCGTCAAAGGAGTAGAGTTTGAACTGGGTCCAGAAGAAAGAATAAGATTGTCCATAGAGCAAAGGAATGGAGAAGTGTCCCAGAGGGAGGTCACAGCATATGGCTAGTGGTTTGGAAGGCACTGTGTTGGTAGAAGGAAAAGAATAACAGAATCAGAGTGTAAAGGGCAAGTCCAGGGCTGAAGGCTGAGTGGAGCAGGAGAAGGAAGCTTGGGCTGTGTGGTGGAGGGCTCCGGTGGGTTGAGTTAATTTTGGAGCATGGCGTCAGCTCAGACCACTGCTGTAGAGTGTAGTAAAGGTGAAATTCTCAATTTAGCACTAGACATTTGTTCCCATAGCTCACCAATATTTGGTGAGTAAACTTCAGGACACACACACACTATTATTATCTCAAATGTAGTGGCTGTTTGTTTGCATCCTGCCCAGCCCTTTCCTGGAGCCAGGGCTCTGAGCTATGTCCACACAGTCTGAAGTGCTGCTCCCCAGGACTGGAAAGTGCCCTGCAAACCAAGGTCAAGAGTCTGGATGAAGGCCTTCAACAGAGCCTTTCTGGGTCTCAGCGTATAACTTTGACAGAAGCTCTTATCCATCCTGGTCTCACTTTCCTCGTCTCTCAAATGTGTCTTCTAGACTCGAAGCTCAAGAGAGGAGGAATTCTGAACCAGGTGACTCAGTAGTTCACAGGAGGAGCTTCAGGGTCAGCTCCCTAACATGGTTCTAGTTCTACTAACTGTGGGAAGTGTCTCTCCTCCCCGGGCGTCCGTTTCCTCACTGACAAAATAGGTTAATAGTAACACCAGCCTCAAAGGGTTGTAAACATTAAGAACGGTGAGTGTTGTCCATGCACAGACTTACTGGACATTAGATGTGACGCTGACATAGAGCTTGTGCTTGACTCTTCCACCTTTCTGCCCCCAGTGCCCAGCAGAAGACCTGACACATAATAAAACTCAGTTAAAAATTGGATGAAGAATGGAAGTATGGAATTGCCTGGAATGTCAAAGTGGAACAAGTTCCAAGAGAGTCTAACTATTTGTTGGACAGATGTGGAGATGGGGAGCTTAGGGCAGAACAGGATGGAATGGCAGTGAGGATGAAGAGAATATAGAAATCTGTGCAGAAATAGCTTTACTGACATAAATTCTGGACAAATAATGGTGAGGAAGTATTACTGTTCAGCATTCCAATTGGTCCTCTTGACCACTCTCCACTCAGGCCTAGATAACTACCCAGCATTCCCCAGGCACACTGTGGACTTTACCACCACTCTGCCTGCACTTAAAACTGAAGTTCAAGTGCCACCTCCTCCCGCTGCTTCACCACTCCCAGGGCTTTGATGGTTGCTACTTGACAAACGAGTACCTGCCGCTTGGAAAATGACTCAAGACCTGAGTATTTACTTGCTTCCAGCCCTTTTCTATCTACTCACTCATCCATCCCACTGCCTAGCCATCCATCTAGTTTGCCCAAAATCCACTAAGGAATGTCTCCGTCCATCCATCCATCCATCCATCCATCCATCCATCCATCCATCCATCCATCCAGTTTACCCTAAACCCACAAATTAACACCTACATTGTGCTAAATTGCAAATGTCCTCTCTCTTCTAGGCTCTGATGGCTCCTTATGGTCATCTCCTGAGTTCTCTTTAAACCTTGAGCAACTTTATAGTTGCCAGGGCTCCTTCCAACCCTACATTCCACTAGAAGTTCCTTGGGGCTGGTCACAAGGGCTCCATCCCTTTACCCTCTGGTCCTGGCACAGAGTGGGAGCTCCAGAGGGAAGGAGAGATGCTCTCTTCCTCTGAGGAATTCTTGCTGCTAGGCTAGGGTATGGGTTCCATCCACGGGCTCCCACAGTCCTGGGTTTCCATCCTCAGCACTGAAATCCCTGAGCCTAGTGCAAAGCAGACATTACTTAGTGATTTTTGAGTGAATTAGATGGTTGGTTGGTTGGTTGGTTGGTTGGTTGGTTGGTTGGTTGGTTGGTTGGATATATGGATGGATAATTAGATGGATAGGTTGTGTATGTATGAGTTAATGAAAAGGAGAGACACGGAAGGAAGCAAATGCTCCTGTCTTGGGTTGTTCTCTAAGGGGCAGACATTTATTTGTCAAACAAAATCCCACTAGGCTGAATTTGGGCTTCACTGTTCTTATCTTGACTGTTCACATTCTATTTGTTCATTCATTCATTCATTATTTCATCAATGCCGTAGCTTCTTGTGAGGCAGTCAATGTATAACTATGTGTAAAATGGCAATTATAGTGTCCAGCACATCATAAGTGATGTACTGTACTGCCATTGTGATTAAACAAATATTTCCCAAGGACATAATACTGCATGTCAAGTTCGAAGTTAGAATGTGTTATAAATTCACCTCTATCTCATAGATACACAGTGACATACAAGCAGATTCTTTAACAAGAGAAGCCAGTGGTTCTCCTCACTCTGTCCTGGGAGACTGCTCCCCTACATCTAAGGGCTGGGGCTCAGGGAGGCAGTGAGGGTGGGGTGAGGACTAGCAAGTGCCCTGGGAAGCTGGGATCCATCCCAACTGACGGTGACCTGCAGATGACCCAGTCTACAAAATGCATCTCCTTGTGCCCATCTTCACCGCAGACCCTCCCGCTCTTACCATGATTGGTGTGGTCGTAGCGGTATGGCTCCGAGATGAAGTGTGGGAGGCTCATCAGCATGCCGGCCACTGCCACAAGGATGGCCCCACAGCCAATCAGACGAGGCCGGTGCACACGGCTGCCGAAATAGCTCACAAACACAATCAGGGCTGTGTTCCCCACCTGCAAAGGGACGAGCAGACATATCAGAGTGGGATCGACGCGGGTGGGAGAGCCCTGGGCCATCCTTACCAGCATCACCAACTTCGTTTCTCCTGTCTATATAGTGGATTAGATGCTGGCGCCATAGTAGATTAGTGTTGAGCTACTAACTGAAAGGTCAGTGGTTCAAATCCACCAGCCACCCAATGGGATAAAGACGAGGCAATCCACTGCCATAAAGAGTCATAGCCTTGGACCCTACTGAGCAGTTCCACTCTATCCTATAGGGTCGCTTGGAGTTGGGCTCAATTCTGTGACATCTTTGCTGCGAGACTGGGGTGTAGGTTTCAGGGTATTTGACTTGGTTTGGAGGGTCTTCTTAGGAGTCCTTTGGTGTAGTGGTTCAGCATTCAGCTGCTAACTAAAAGGTTGGCAGTTCGAACTCACCCGCCACTCTAGAGGAGGAGACGTGACAGGCTGCATCTGTAAAGATTTACGGCCTTGGAAGACCTACACAGCAGTTCTACTCTGTCCTACGGCTGGTTATGAGTCTTAGTGGATTGATGGCTGTGGGGTTGGTTTAGGTCCTTCCTATATGTACAGGTTCTGGATCCTTCTAGGAAGGGCCCTACTGCTCTGTGAGGGGAAAGAAACGAGGACAAAGACGACAGGGCCAGAAGGTCAATTTCATGTTGGAACATGGTCTAGACCCCATATCAGAACATGAAAGGGGCAGTCAAAGAAAAGAGTTTAAAGCTGGGAAGTCATGAATAAGAGAACCTCACAGAAGGTCTAATGTCAGAAGACTAAGCCTTAGAATTTTGAATCCTAAACCCAAAATGCCAGGATGTGGATCCTGGGGGGTACTTGGGCAGGTTCTGTCATCAGGCTGGGCTGTGAGTCCATGTTCTCTGCTTATGGTTGGTGCCTGTTGGGGAGACGCTCACTCCACTGAGCCCCGGGCTCCTTACGGGGCAGTGGAACCCTATCCACAGCAGACTGACATCGAGAAGTGCCGTCACTCTCTATTTTATAGACAAACCACTAAGGCCCAGAGATGTGGATTATTGACTTGTCCACGGTCCAAAGCAAAGCAAAGCAATGGCTTTCACTTCCCACATGATGAGGGACATCTGGGGATGCTGTTTGTGTTATGAGCAGGCCCTGGGCTGGAAGGGATGCAGGACATTACTCAAGGGGAAGAGAATGTTGTAGAAACCTTCTGGGGCTGAGGAGGAGCACAGAGCTCTGGACAGCTGCCTTCTCTGAGGGTGAAAACATGGGGGGAGGGGGGAGGGACAGGGCAACAGCTGCATTCTGATTTGGATTCACACAAAGCAGCTTCTCCACTCCTCATTGGAGATCGGCCCTGGACATGAGGGCCTAAGGACCCCTGAGCAACTCAGAGGACCAACTGTGGGCCATGGAGTCACACTCTCTTCCATAAATCACGCCCAGGCTTGAAAGTTCTCCCCTTGATTTCGTATAAACATCTCTGGATGTTACTCTTGAGGTGACTTCCTAGGACAGGCAATAACCAGGTGTCTGGAAAAGGAAAGGAGCCAGAGGAAGATAGAGTGGATGTGGGGAACCCAGGTTAGCCCCTCAACTACTCCACGTCCACAGTACGTCCTAAGCGAAGGATGGCCAAATCTTTAGAAAACGTGGGCAGGTAGGGGTCTCCTCTGGGCTTGTGTTGCAAGCACATGATGGTTCAGTTTCTTGGCCAAGGAGTTTTGGAAAGGGTAGGCTAAGGAAGGCTTGGGATGGATTTGTGATGTGATTGCATCAAGGCACTGGGAGAGGAGGCGTTTGGGGGGGGGTGGGGGGGAGAGGTAGGGTGCACATGGGCCAGGGGCTGTACCTCGTTGAAAGCGGCCAGCAGCCCCGAGGTCTGGCTGGAGAGACCGAAGCGCTTCTCCACCGTGGAGATGGAGCTCTTGAGGTAGCCGGAGATCATGAGCTGCGCCAGCTGCAGCAGGCTGTGGCACAGGACGAAGAACTGCCAGGATTGTCGCAGAGATGGCAGCAGGCAGGGGACAGAGAAAGATACAGGGGAGACACATCAGAGCAGGGTGGAGCAATAATCAATAGAAGAGGAGACTCAGAGAGATGGCGATGGGGGCAGAGGAGGGTGAGGTCAGGAGAAGGATGGAAGAATAGAGAGGAAGAAAGAGAGGAGAGCAAAATGAGGAAGAGTGGGTAGAAAACAAGAGGAGAGAGACACCAAGAGGCAGGACCAGGGAGACAGTGAGAAGAGGGAGGGAGTCAGAGGAGCCGCCAAGGGCTTCTCACACCATCCTGAAAGCTGGAAAAGCTATCCTGAGTCTGCTCCGATAGTCTGGGGATGCAAGATCGAATCCCCAACCTAACTCACCTCAACCCACTCTGCATTGCACACCCCATCCCACCTAACTCAAAGCCTGCCTTCAGTCCTCCTCAGGAAATACTGTCAGGATTCCCTAAGGCAGGAAAAAAAAAACCTCATCAAATAATAATATTCATAAATAGAGCATTCATGCCAGAGCTTCCCAAGTAAATCCTTTCTTCTGAGTTCCTCTGAACATTAAGGACATCTCAGGGCTGGAAAAATGAAATAAAATCATATGTAAAGAGCCCATGACACAGAGTTTGGCACCACTACATACTGGGTGAGTATGTGGATGTTTGGGGGGCTGCCCTTGAAGGAGCCAGAACTCCTCAGTGTCCATACATTTTCAGGACCCCTGAGTCTCTATTCTCTAGGGAAGCTAGGGGACTTGGCCTCACTGCTCACAGAACAGCCCCTCCTCCCTCCTTGGGGGAGAAGAAATAGTGCCAGGCACCTTGCATCTGCCTAAAACCAAGCTTCGTGCTTCTGTATATCATCCCTTTGATCCTCACAGCCACCCATTCAATACAGATAAGGAAACTGATGGAGAAAGGCAACAACTTGTTAGAAGGCCAATAATTGGGACAGCCTGCTCTGCTGGGCTGGGATGTCACTGCTCTTGCCAGATACCTTGATGCTGTGGAACACACTTTGCTTCAAGTCCTGATGGCCAGGGTTGGCTTTGCCTCCAGGCGTGCCTTCCGTGTCCAAAGAGACCTTGATGTCTTTGTCTGGCCTCTGGCGTCCTTCACCGGCTGGCCCTGTGAGGCGGACAGCCAGGGAGTGAGAATGGAGATGGAATCCCAGAGACTGGTCCTGCCTCAGGTAGCCCCAGGGCCAAGATGTTTCAGGAAGAAGGAGCATTACTGGTTGCTGAGAATCTGAGAAGAAAATTGCCTCTGCCCTCCTCATTCCCAGGCTATGGTGCTGGGGTGTGTGTTCCACCTGCCTGTGCTGACCAGCTCCCTACTGCGGACGCATTCAACCGCTATCAGCATAAACCTTCCCCTGAGAGAGAAGCGCTAGAGCCCTGCATGGACACAGATCTGTGGCTGAGCAATGACCTGAAATGAGCAAAATACACTCCCTCAGCACCCCCTTGAACCTGGGTGTGAGACAGCTAGTGTTCTTGGTGGCTGAGCCTATCTGGATCAGGGAGTCTGAGATCCATTTCAAGGTCAAGGTGTAACAGAGAATAAAGCTTTTCCCTGAGTGTAGCTCAAAATAGATACTAACACCCTCAAGAATGTAAAACCACTGAGTCCAATCATCAAATTATACACAATGATCAAAGCTAAAAGGGCTTTGAGTGGTCTTCTCATTTTATCGTCTCTTGTATAAACTGAGGCCCCAGCTGTCAATGATTCAGGAGTCAGGACTGGTCAGAACCTGGACCTTTGATCCCACCATGACCCGACTGTGATCTTGATCCCACTGTGGTCTCCTATAGAAATCATGTCAGTCTGCTGCCCAGGTGAGACTAAAGCAGACCCTTCAGAGGCATCTTCCAGGCTCTGCTACTGTTTTAATCTCATCAGGGAGCTGGAAGTCTGGCTTTGGGAGACTCCACTCTTTCATTTAGATGGAGACTACCTGTCCCTGAGCAGCCCACGGCTCCTTGGTCTTCCTTTTCTTCTGAGGCCCTGCTTCCTGTCGGAAGCCTCCTGCATTGTTTAAAATCCCTCTCAACTCTGGCAGGAGCTTCCCCTTATTCATTAAACTCCTTCTGGAGCCTGCCATGATCTGAGGACACCTCTGGTTTTTGAGACGCTCCTGAGGTCATTACTTCCCTCATTCCAGACCTAGAAGGCTAGAAGGATTCCTGAACCCCACGTATAGATAGACCTCAGAGGGAGTATGGTGTCAGATCCAAACCACTACACTAAAGCTAAGATTGCAATCAGGCAAGTTCCATGAATTCTTCGGTCTCTTAACACACTTAAAGTTTACACGGTGTTGTTGTTAGATGCCATCACATCGACTCTGCCTCACAGTGACCATTGCCCTGTCCTGCCGGCCTCCCCCTCACGGTCTCTGTCGTGCTCACACCCATTGTGGCAATCACCGTGTCGATCTTTTGTTGAGGCTCTTTCCCTTTCACCGACCCACTGCCTTTCCCAGCACCATGTCTTTCTGCAAGAACGACTTCCTCTTGAAAATATGCTCAGAACAAATGAGACAAAGTTTCATCATCCTTGCCTCTAAGGAACACTCCAGCTGCACCTCCTTCAAGCAGACATGCATGTTCTTTGGGCAGTCCTTGATATCCTCAATACTCTTCACCAACACCACCGTTCAAAGGCTTCAGTTCTTCAGTGTATTTTATTCATTGTCTAATTTTCAGATGAATAGGAAGCAATGAAAAACACCAAGACTTGGATCAGGTGTTCTTTAGAACTTTGAATAGACCCTTGAAAGCAGCTTTTCCCAACACATGTCTTTTGTCAGTTGACACTATACTGTAGTCTATTAAAGGAGCTTTGGGGGCACAGTTCTTAGGGAGCTGTGCTGATAACTCAAAGGATGAACCTCTTCGGTGGTTCGAATCCTTCAGCAACTTCTTGGGAGAAGGATGGACAATCTCCTCCCATGCTGTTTACAGTGTCAGAAGGCTAGAAGGTCAGCTCTGAGTTGGTTCTGATTTGAAGGCAATGGATTTTATGTTTGTTTAGTTTTGGTTCTTTCAGAGTAGTCTTAAGCATTGGACTGTGTGGATCACAACAAACTGTGGCTAGCATTGAGAAGAGTGGGAATTCCAGAACTGTGCTCATGTGAAACCTGTACTTAATCCAGGAAGCAGTTGTATGAACAGAGCAAGGAAACAGTGCATGGTTCAAAATCAAGAAAGGGGTACATCAGGGATGCGTTCTGTCTCTATACCTTTTAAATCTGCATGTGGAACAGATCATTTGGGAGGCTAGACTTTATGAGGAGGAATGCGGCATCAGGATTGGAGAAAGACCAGTCAACAATCTGCATTATGCAAATAAGACAAACTTGCTTGTTGAAACTGAGGAGGACCTGAAGCATTTGCTGCAGAAGGTCAAGGGCTATAGTCTTTAATATGGATTGAAACTCAACATCGTCTGACCACTAGGTCAATGACATGATAGATGGAGAAGGGATTGAGATTGTTAATGGTTTCATCTTGCTCGGATCCACAAATAACACTCTTGGCACCGGCAGTCGAAAATCAAAAGATGAGTTGCATTGAGGAAGTCTCCAGAATGACAAAGAGCAATGATGTTAGACTGGAGACTAAGGTGTGCCTGATCCAAGCCATGCTCTTTTCAACTACTTGCTACACATCAGAGAGCTGGACAATGACTAAGGATGACAGAAGACAAATCTATGCCTTTGAGTTGCGGTTCTGGAGAAAAGTATTGAACACACCATGGACTGCCAAGAAAACAAATAGATTTGTCTTGGTGAGGCTGAAAACAAGTTTCTTCTAAGAGGCTAAGACTTTGAAGCTCTGTCTCACATACTTTGGGCATGTGGCCAGGAGAGACCAATCCTTAAAAAAGGATATCATGCTCGGAAGAGTGGAAAGTCAGCACAGGAGAGGAAGACTCTGGATAAGATGGATTGACACAGTGACTGGGGTAATTGGGGCAGGTGTGTCAGAGATAATGAGACTGGCTCAGGACAGGACAGGGTTTAGAGCTACTATTCATCGGGTTGCTATGCATCACAGTCAATTCAATAGCACTGAACAACAAGAAGCATCAAATAGGGAGCTCTGGTGGCCTAGAGGTAAGGAGCTAAACTGCCAACCCAAAGGCATATGATTTGAATTCACCAGCTGCTCCATAGAAGAAAGATGAGAAAAATCCTCTTGTGTGATTTATAGCCCCTGAAAACCCACTTTAAGGTCAGCTATGAGTCAGTTCTAATTTGGCAGTACTTAACAAGAGGCATGCAATAACATTATGAAAATGTTCCAAGTATTGTGAGAATTACCAAAATGTGGCATAGAGACATGAAGCGAAAACATGCTGCTGGAAAATGGCTCAGACAGACTGGCTCAATGCAGGGTTGACACTAAATTTAATTTTTTTTTTTAAGTAACTATCTGCAAAGCCTGGTGAAATGAAGTGTGCCTGTAGGTCAAATGGTCCAAAGGGATGGGAGTCCATAGCCCACAGGCCTCGGGCGGGCAGTCTGTTTGCCTGCCTGCCTGTGAGCTGCCACTTGGCCATCATTTGTTCGGGCATTGCCATGTGCCTCTGCTGATGACTCAATCAGTCACGGTCCAGCTGTCTCGGTGACTTGTCTGATCAGTAAGCTGGTCAGACAGTCTCCTAAAAGTGTGCCAGTCAGTCTGAAACTCTGTTTCTAAGGGAGCTGGTCACTCAGAGCTCCGTCTGGTAGGCAAAGGGTCTGGCTCCAGCTCCCTCTCAATGGGCAGTTCTCTGCTTTCCTCACACCAGCTGAGCCAGCGTAATGGGAATCAAGGCTCCACAGACAAGCATGACCGGGAGCCTTTCTCCGCCTGTTCTTACTGTAAAGACTCCTGTCTCCCGCCTCCTTTATTCAGCTTCCCACTGCAAATAGCAGATCTCGGGGGGAAAGAGGGGCTGGGTGCAGACTTCAGAGCCCTGAGACCTGGATTTGAATCTCTGCTCTCCCACTAACCCATGGTGGACATGCCCCGCAACCTATATGAAGGACTCAAGGCATCTAGTGTACAGCACAAAATTGATACCCAATGAGAACCATGTCCTTGCCTTTTCCTGATACATCTTCAAGCTCTGTAAAGACAACAAGGACTAGCTGATTCTTCTCCTTTTCCACACACATCTGGTCCTTCTTCAAGTTCTGGCTTCCATTCTGATATCACCAGCCACCTCACTGCTCAGCAGAAATCTCTCTGACTTGCCTCTCTCCTCTCACCCAATATTCCATCAACCATGAGACTTGACGTTGAGTGAAGAATTGAACTCCTCCTCTCTATGCTCTCTCACTAGCTTGAGAGACAATTACCCTGGCATGTCAACCTCCACAGCTCTTCACTCCCGTGTGACCAGCATCTACTTGGTAAGGTTTGGGATCCTTCTTTCTTAGTGCAGGGAGTGCCCAATGGGAGCCAGAGCCACCATGTACCCACACACAACTTGGGCACTGGGCACCCACACCACACTGCACAATATACATCCTAGCAATTTCCATCTTCATTAGCATTTTTTACTCTTCCCACATTGCCCTCCCTAAGCAAAATCCTTTGACTGCTCATTCTGGGAATTTCCTGACTCAAGTCTTTAGTGAAAAACATCAACAGTTTGTCTCCCCTCGGAATTTTTAGGGAGTTCTGGTGACCCAGTGGCAAAGAGTTATACTGCGATCCCAAAGGTACCTCAACATCAAGAAAACAAAGATTTTCCCTACTGGGCCAATTGGCAGAATCATGATAGATGGGACTGTTAACAATTACAGCTTGCTTGGTCCCATAATCAACACTTTTGGCACCAGCAGTCAGGAAATCAAAAGATGAATTACAATAGGGAAATCTGCTGTCAGGGACCTCTCCTGAGTGCTGAAGAAAAAGGGTGTCTGTCAGTCTAGAGACTAAAGTGCACCTGATCCAGGACATGGTCTTTGCAATTACTTGCTATGCATCAGAGAGCTGGACAATGACTAAGGATGACAGAAGAATTGATGCCTTTGAGTTGTGGTGCTGGAGAAGGTTTGAATATAACCATGGACTGTCAAGAGAACTAACAGCTCTGTCCTGGAGATAGTGAAACCAAGCTGCTCCTTGGAGGCAAGGATTTTGAGACCCCGTCTCACATACTTTGGTTATGTAGCCAAAATGGGGCAGTCTTTGGAGAAGGATATCTTGTTGGAAGGTTGAGGGACAGCAC